AAAAAGGTTCGGATCTTAAATTTAGTGAGTGAAATAGTTAGTTGTTAAGGAAGCGAGAAATCTGCATAATTGTTAATTTGATGTAATGCTGCAAAAGCTTGTGGAAGTTTCAAATGATTGTTTTAAAAAGTTCTCATTTGGGGAAACTCTTGTTCTTCTCCTTTCACGTTAGTTTGAGAAGAGTACATTTCATCTAAGGGGTGTGATATCCACACACTCTTCTAATTTTTAGCCGTCCGATCAGATGAATTGAAGAAGATCAAAGAACAAAAATTAATAAAGGTGTGAGAAGTAAAAAGATAATAAAAGAATCGTTACAAAGATAAACAACACAACGTCGTTTAACGTATGGGATGCAAATTACAAGCAGCTACCCCCTCGTAAAATTTCCTGACTCCTGAAAATGAAGGGGTTCATTCCCCCAAGAAACACATCCGGCAGTCATTTCTCTGGCGAATAGTTCAACACACCGACTACGTTGGAGTCCCGGAGAATACTCCTGTAAAAATCCTAATAAAAGGTACAAGAGAACGTATATCAGTAAATACTGTATTGCCTAATTGACAACCGGACGCCTGAGTATCAAACATGTGATCAGTTCCTCCACACAAAAAATTAAAGAAGGATAAAATGATTCCAATGAATGGGAAAGTAGCGAGTACATAAACACTACTAATAAAAGGGTTATAGTATAGCGTCGGTTACAAGACTAAACTTACTTGCTACCGGGGGCTTCCTTGAGTAGTCTCCTGGTATGCTTAACATGATTTGATTATCTGGTATAGGTTTGGATCTTGAATTGTCATCCGTAGCCTATACAGTATCAACGTCACACGCAGAAGAAGATTACTAATGCTAAAATCTAAACCATAAGGCATAAGCAAAAGAACAGGCTGCTGCATATGGTGAAAACTAACCTTCCCTGGACAAAGGCCCAATAGAAGGCACTCATATGGCCTGTGATGAAAGAGGTCCAAATCGCCTATCAAAGAACCATCTGCTTTGACCTTCGACAGTCAATAGAACCAGACCTTGTCAAAGTGAATTCACTAAACTATAGCCAAGTTTATTCACTATGAAAACAAAAACACACACCCAAACTGAGAACCTTCAACCAGTAACAAGTAGCTGCATATTCGACTCCCCATGCAGGAAAAAGTTCCTTCTCGACAAAGCCACGCAACTTCTCCCTGTTGGTCACCCATAAAGCAACAAGTGCTCCATTTGTGTGACACAATTGCTTGATGGGAAGGGATAAGAAATATCGGTTGGGCAAAGTTGAGTACCTATAATAACAGTGACAACCACATAGTTAGTGAAAAAAATGACAAGTTCCTAGCAGCTTGTAGCCCATATTAACGCTAGTTCATGCTACATATCAAATCTGCATCAGCCACTCATCTACAACTCCAAAATGTTTCAACGAACTTAACTACCAAAATTAATAACATAAATTAAGAAAATTTTCCATGGTTGATCGGTTGATCTGTTAATTAAGACAATAGGACAAATTTTACAATAGTCACTTGGATTAACATCCCTTTAATGTCACTTTTTACTCTTTAACAACAGTAAGCGGCACACTCTTACAGGGTGAGTATGCTTTCAATTCCATTAAAAAGTTCAAAATACAGGAGATGCCTGGGTAGGTTATTAGAAAAGGCTTGCAGGTTCTTTAGGCGAGAAAGCATAATAAGGTAGAATGCCTACCTCAGCTTTTGACGTGCACTTCCATTTTCCCATGGCGGATCAACAACAATAAGATTGAAGCCACAATCAGACTCTGCTGCACAAAAAGTACAAAATTTAAGCTACAATAACAACTATAGAGTGAACTTGCAAAATGATTCTACCTAAACGAATACTTTGCCTTGCAAAAATTCATGAAATTAGCTCTAGACATCATCATGCTAGTAAATGTACATCACATTTCTTCCAATTTACAGTACAAAACAATACAAAAAAAATAAAAAAAAAAAAAACATAGCAAGAGACTTTAAGCATGAAGCATCTAGTTTGTGCAATTTACTCCTACAGAACTTAAGTTGTTTACACATTCAGAAACAGGTTTTGCAGATAATACGGGTTTGAAATGCAGGAATTACCAGGAATTAGATTGTGAATCTGCCCCAGATCAGACTTCCACATGATAGAAAACAAAACATGTAAGAAACATTGTAAACTACCTAACGGAGTTCATCTGTGCGTTTAAAAGAAAAAAAGTCAGTAATGTCAGCGTACCATGTAGAAGGAACTCTCCGGAGGTAAGATATATCGACTGCCCAAAAGTTCAGCCTCCACATCTTCACTGGTCTCATTAATGACTAAGTTGTTAAACACAGGGACTGCTCGTTGTTTACAGTATTCCATGACAGGGGAACCTGAGAAAACAGAGTACAGTTCACTGGGATTAGTAGATACAATTCTCTGTCGAAAAAATACAAAGACATTTCACATTCCAGAAATATGCAAACCACGCAACATGATAGCATCATCATGTTTATATAGTCTACTGGAACAAACTCACAACTCAATTGGATAACATTTTTTTATAGCAATTAGAACTCGAATTGAAGAGTTGAGATAGCTAACAGAAGAAAGGACAGATGATGAGCATCCATATGAGCCGAGCATTTCCAAGATCTAACTCAAGTTTTTTCTTCTGTAGTGGAATGGTTTGGCGAGCAAAACTTTAAATAATATTTACAATTACATTAGAATTTATTTCAATTATCAAGCAATCCAGCACCAGCTGACAAGCAGCTAATAATAATCTTGATAAAATAAAAAAAGGCGACATTTCAACTTTTATCCAAAAAACAAAAAGAATCAAAGGCAAAAAATTTCGAATAACAAAACCGACCTCCATCTTCGCTTGCATTGTCATGTGATTGCGAATTTAAAGTTATCTCATACAGCGGCGCCTGCCAGACCCGCCCGAGTTCAACCAGCGACTGCGTAGTGCTGGGAGACGAAGCTGAATTATCGAAATCATCCCTCAAATTGCTCACAACCTCTAAAAGCTCAGTTGATCTAAGTAGAGATTTATGCGCCTTCAGCAAAAAAGGTCTTGCTTCCTGCAACAAAAAAACCATACAAACACTAGTCTCCGTCTGAATTTCAATCACAAATCACAAAACTCTTTCCAACATTTTCTCAGTAACCAATAAGCCTTGCAACATTTTCTAGTCAACCAAACAGGCATTGAGCCAGCGAGAGAGCGATTACCTGATGGCGTTGATCGGCGGCGCGTTCTCTGTCATTGAGAGTCTGAGGCTTCTTCTCCTTCCGCATCCGCTTTCTGGAATTCGAACACACCCTAGGCTCTTGAATTTTGGATTTGAATGAGCGGGAGTAGTAGGCGGAAGGGGACACCCTGAACCGGGTGTAGGAGCGGTTGAGGACGCGAACCGGGTCGATGAAAACGGCGGTCGAGTCTTCGAACCGGTACACGCCGGAGTCCAAAAACGTCGATAGCTTGCCGGCTGGTTTCGAGTCCTCCATTATCGCCGTGTAGGTTTCGGCGTTCAGTTCGGCTGTTAGAAATCCTTAGGGTGTACTCTTATTTGAATTTTAAAAGAATTTAGAATCTAGTAGATAATTAGGATTTTAAAAGAATTTAAGAGAATTCATTTAAATACAAGGTGGTTAATTAAAGGATTTTAGAATTTTGGTATAATCAACTAAGATTTTAAAAGATTTTTATAGATTTTAAAGGATTTCATTGAATAAGTGATTTTGGAGGATTTGAGAAGAGTTGATAAGCTTAAAAAGATTAAAAAGAATCCTACCTCTACCCTAGGATTTCTTTCTAACCCCCTTTGATTTCTTTCTCTCTCTTTCTGTCCACTCTGCAACCGAGCTTTCTTTCTTTCTCTCTTCCCATTTCATTATTCTTGTTAGATTGCTTTTGGAGGTGTACAACATGCAAGGGCAAATCAAGCTAATTATCCACTGCATCACTCCTTGACAAGGTAATATGCGCATTCATTGCTAATACTGAGATTGTTTTCCTATTTACATAGGAGTGAACCTATTTATAGTGTTGTCACAATACATAGTTAGAGATAGGGTTAATTCAAGTTTTGGTTAAGTATATTGTATATATTCATTTGTAAAACACATGGATGTTTTTGGAGGAAGCTGACTTGGTAAATGAACTTTCATCGTGGTATGCTTGTTCTTTGTGAAATTTCGTAAATACCAATGTGATTGGTACTAGTTGATCATTGAATCCCTTTAATTGCTATTGTTTGTGTCTCTTCATAGTTGAACAATATATTTTCCTTAATGCATCAACAATGCTTTGATGCCAGTTGCTTGTGAGAAGTCTTTCGTTGCTCTTGTAAGGCTGATGTAATGCTGAAGCAATTCTTCCATTTTATGATTTTGAGGTCCTCTGCAACGAGGAATAAAATGGTAGTGGCACGAAATGGCATGTGCTATGTCCAATTATTGGATTCACTTCGTATGTAGCCTTCATCTACATGTCTTTTGGTAACTTGGGTCGAATTTTCGTGACAAGATGAAGTTGAGTTTTGTGGGGAGGAATGGCACACGGTTCATCTTGGATGGCAAGGCATTTTAAATTAATGGGTGAAATTCATTAGGGAGAACTGGGCATCGGGAAAACATGGAGGATTGGGAGAACTAGATAAAGTTCTTAGATTTTTTTTTCAAGTTTTTTTCTTTTTAAATTTTCTATTTAAAAAATAATTCTTTAAATGATGAGAAATCTCTCAAAATCCATTCAAATCTTTAATCCAACTTAATAAGAATCCTTGAAAATCAATTTAAAAGTTGTAAGGATTTTACAATTTTTTGAAATCCATCACTCAAAAAAATATTTTAAAATCATATGAAATGCGAATTGACCAAATCGGTAGGCAGGCTTTAGCCGTTGCACGTACGCAAAATTTTTCCCACTCCGCGAAATTCCCATTTTACCCTTACCGACGAAAACGCGCAAAGGGTCATTGCCTTTCTTCCATTCAAAACAAAGTCCTCCCCCCTCCCTCTCTTTCTTCTATTTAAGAAAAACCAGAGCCACCACAGCTCCCAGAACGCAGCGCAGCTCAGATCTTCGTACCAAAATTCGCACACAGGTATGGCTTCTTCTCAATTCGCGCTTTCGATTAGCATTTGATGCAATGGAATTAGGTTTTGATCTGCGTTTCTGCGATCGAATTCTTTTGCTCCGCATCGTGTTTGTTAATGCTTGATTTGACTAGTAAACGTCGTCGGATTGTTTAATTTCGATTGGATTTTGTGTTTTTGGTGATTTTTGAGCTCGCATTTGATCGGATTTTGAACTTTTTGATTTTGATTTTTGATTTTTTTTTTGCGTGGATCTGATCGATGCGGTTTTGATCCGTGTCTATTTGGTTTGGTTTCGTGGAAGGGAGTGGAAAGTCTCAAGATTTTTCTTTTTATGTTTATTCATTTGACATTTTTGACAGTGTTTATGTAGATTTCATCTTGCGTACTCGGTTTAGTGCTCGATCTGAGTCTCCATGATGCTTTGACATCTATTCACGTTGCATGATTTGATGAATTTCGGCATTTCTAGTCTCTGATAGCATAAATTTTTGTTAGATCTCGACGTAGTTCTAATTGGTGTTAAATTGATCTAGGAGGAAAAAGGGAGGGAAAGATTGAGAGTAAAATTTTGAATTTTTTTATATGCTGATTTTACTTGCAATGAGAAATGGTGGAGCTTCTGCATTAAATTGAAACAGAATTTTTTTTTGTCTCCTTGCATGCCTGCTTTTTTGCATCCGAATTAATCTCACTGTTTGTCTGTGTTGGATCTTTGAATAATTGAATGATTTTAAAATTATAGATGGGAAAAGTCCAATCTCTGAGATATTTTCTACATTTTTTTTGAAGTTTTCTGATCACTTTAATCAAATCTATGCTTTTTGTTGAATTTTTGTATTTCACTTTGGAGAAGTAAACTTTACAACACTGGGACTAAAATTTGATTCTGATATATATGGCCCCCTGCTTTTATATATCACACAGTTTAGAAGACTTGTTAAAAGACACTTTATGAAGGGTAGTTTGGACTATAATGGGAGTTTTATGGTTCAATTGTGATGCACAAGACACTGGCTATTCAGACCGCTGTGGTGGAAAATTAATATATTTATATGTGTAAATGGAAGCATATATGTGCCATGCGTACAAGACAGTTTCTTAGCTTATCAACTATTTTTGCACATTCAAGCATAAACATGGTTTTTTTGGTCCAAGTAAAATTTTGTAATGGCAATGTTCTGGTTTGTGTAGATAGGATATTCAGAGACGAGTAGTTGGTGCTCATGGGTGAAGTTGTTGATGCCGGAAAGAAGGTATATCTCGGGTTTTTTTTAATTTATTTTTTATTGAGGTTTCTAAAATTATGCACGGTTTCTTCTGGAAACTTTGTCACTTAAGTTGATATTGCTAAATTTACTGAGAAATGAAATGCTTTTATTTAGTCTTCTCCAGACTCCCGGAGGACATTATTCTTTTTTCTGATTTCAATATGTGTACCTATAATATTTGTTGTTTCATTTCATACTACTTTAAGCTTAAATTGAGAAATTCATCCTATTGCAGGAGGCTAATGGAAGCTTAGCTGATCTGAACCCTACAGTTGTTTTTGTCTTGGGTAAGAAAATTATGGAACTAGGACTAGTTGTATTCTAATCATCCTTGTTTTTCTGAGATGCTAGCAACCTGGGATAAGAACCACTAATCTTGGCTCATGATTTTAATATCCATCTTTTCTTTTGGCTTAAGAGTTTAATGAAAACAAGTGCATGATTTAAGAGTCCTGTATGTCAAAGAGATGATGTTTAAGTATGATAGATAGGCTATCTAAGTTTTCATTTCAGTTTACTCATGACATTGGAGTACTAATTATTGATATGATCCTTAGGTTTGTTTAGATTCCTCTCATTTGTTGTCGTAGCTGTATTTTAATTGTACATTTTCTGTTTAGTTTTTTTGTTTTTTCCTTAATTCCAGTAGCTACACTAAAGCTGCCAGTCTCCTTTCTTGTGAGGTACCTATGGATGCTCTTATCAGTTGTTTCTTTTAATTTTATAGGTGGCCCAGGCAGCGGAAAGGGTACTCAATGTGCAAACATTGTTCAGCACTTTGGGTTTACCCATCTCAGTGCTGGCGATCTTCTTAGAGCAGAAATCAAGTCTGGCTCTGAAAATGGGTATGGCATATCGTCTTTTAATCTGTACAATGTTCATTTTCAAAACTACAATCCTTTTAGGTTGAAGCATTGACTGAAAACCAACTCTTTCTGTAAAAGTATTTGGCTTGGGACACACACATAAGCGTTGATTTCCTGTGTGCTGTTCTGTGTCATCATCTGGTGATCTTATTGTTTACTTTTTAGTTTGGATCTGTTTGCATGGTATTTATCTTTCCAATGTTTCAATGGTTGTGTAATCTACTTTTGGCGTTTTATAGTAAAGGGATACATGATGAGGGTAGCATTCTGCTTCTTGAGTATGCTAAAAGTCATCTCCAGTTACCATGATTCCGTCACCCAACAGTTTCTCTTTCATAAGATGTCGTGTAGCGTTACTTGAGGGGCAAGGTTGATGATACGGTTGAGGATGCTTGCCTGTGTTGTGTCTTGTTTTAAGTCGTCTTAAATGAAAAATGATTGCAAAGTTAGTCTTTACTCTGGACTTTGTATGCCCATCATAATTATTTTACATTTCTCATTTAACAACACTTTTTTTTAATGGTTGACAGGACCATGATTTCGAACATGATTAAAGAAGGAAAGATTGTTCCTTCTGAAGTAACAATTAAACTTCTTGAACGAGCAATGCTGGAAAATGGTAATGACAAGTTTCTCATTGATGGGTTTCCTCGTAATGAGGAAAATCGTGCTGCATTTGAGGCTGTGGTGAGCCCTCTGGATAACCTTTCCTCATGACTTAATTACAGTTTTCGGTGATTGACTAGTTTTCATAGGGGTTTATTTACATGTTGAAGCCAATGGCAAACCGTGTTAATGATTTTGCAGACTAAAATCGAGCCTTCATTTGTCTTGTTTTTTGACTGTTCTGAGGAAGAGATGGAGAGGCGGCTTTTGGGTAGGAACCAGGTAAAATATGTGATTTTTTCTTGTAGAGGAATATGTATATTGTCTTGGTATAATGATTTCATCTCTTTTTTGTTTCCGACCTAATTATGGTGATGCTTTGTGTTTCCTTTGTTGGGCCAATGAAGGGAAGAGAGGATGATAACATAGAAACAATAAGGAAGCGGTTTAAGGTTTTCCAAGATTCTAGTCTCCCTGTGATAGAGTACTACAACTCCAAGGGGAAAGTTCGGAAGGTAATTCTTCAATTGGTTTTACTTTTTTTAACAATATAATCTTGCATGTTTGTTGGAATCATTGTTGTTTTCACTCTCAGATTGATGCTGGAAGGCCTGTTGAAGAGGTTTTTGAGTCCGTTAAAGCTATTTTTGAACCAAAAAATGAGAAGGTAAATGGCCATAGCCATGCTTAATCTTGTTGCGGATATAATGGTGTAAGATTTGATTAGGAAGTGAGTTCATGGGGGTATATTTTCTTACTAGCTCTATTAGAATCGATGAATTTGTGTGACCTCAGTTTGCCGCAAATGTGATTACATTTTGCGTGTCATTGACATTAACTTTAACTACATTTAATAAGAATATCGTGTTGTTCCCACACGACCGACAACATCACCCCCCCGGGGGGGGGGGGGCGCGGGGGCAGAATCTAGCATTCATTTGAATATGTGCATATTTTCCGTGTCATTGACGTCCCTTTTTGCTGTTACAGGCTGATTAATTGCTGCGATTGTAACCAAGATTTCAGATCCTATGACTATTGAGGTAGAAACCTTAATCTTGAACGACAAGAATAACAGTTGACACATGCTTTGATATTACCTCGTTTCGCTTTCATTTTGCACTAAAGCACACATTCTCCTTTTTCGCTTTCCATTTAAGACCAGGAATCTAAGAACTCTAAATAGAAATAGAATAAGAATGGAATATGAGAACCCAATTGACAGACCGACATGCGGATGGAATAAAGGCAAACAATAACAATGATGCTGGTGACAGTAGGTTTTCCATCTTCGACCAGGAATCCGAACTGTTATTGTCACTTTTTAGGGTTGACAAAGTATGATGTTGTCAAAGAGTCATAAATTTGTTACATGCATTGTTTAAATTTGGTTTGTGATCATCGGCCGAAAAACAGACTTTCCAAATCAACTGCTTTGCAAATGGGATTCTTAACAGTTAAATGTAAGTAAACAATGCCATTGAACATATTCGAATGCCCATAGCCCATGTTCCGTTCGACTGCCACACCCCCGTCCCGACATACATGCACAGAAGCACTCTCACTTTTTACCCAATGCCAATATTAACCATTTCGTTTTCAATGGTATCTTTCTTTCAGGTGATGCAATTGCGAGCTGCATATAGTGTATTCTTTGGCAGGTTTTATTCCTATTGCTTACTTATTATTCAAGGTTGTATTATTTTACGCAATTGAGGTGTATCCCTCTAGCCTTACATTATGATTGTATTCTAAATTTAAGATTTATAGTAATAATTATTGGAATAATGTTCCGATTTCGAGTTTGATGTGATCCATTTTTGGTTATTTTGGAAAAATAGTTCGAATTACACGAAATATTGAAAGATATATAAAAAAAAAGTACAGAAAATTGTTGCAAGAGTGATTCGCTTGCAAAGATTCTTGATACAAAAATAGAACAGACCGACCATGCACAAAATCGAAATTACTAAAATACCCACATATAAATACTAAAAATCATCAGCCCATTGCATCACTGTTCTTATTTGGAGCAGAGGGATGTTGAGAGAGCTCTGTGAGCTCTAGGTTTATGGGTTGAGTTTAGATCTCAGAGCTTCGATTTCGAAGAGAGGGAAGTCTAAAGAGAGGCGAGAAGAGTGAGTTGGGTTTTGGGTTGACCTTATACCTTTGATTTCGAGCAAATGGATGCAAGAGAGAGGTGAGAAGAGTGAGTTGGGTTTTGTATCATATTTTCTATTTTGGCCAGAAAGTTCCATTTTTTTCGGCGACTAAAGCTTCAGGCAGACATGGTAAGGTAGGGTGTTTATTTCCAATTTCCTTCATCAATGATTTATGGAATAATGAGTTGTTTGTAAGACGAATTAATACTTAGAAGTTAAATTAAGGTTTGTGTTTCATGTTGGGGCGTATGGGTTGTGGAATAAATTTCAAGTTTTGACGTGCTACAAACTGGGATGGAACAATTTCTGGTTCAAGTGTCCAATTGTAGAAATTTGTGAAAATTTTCCCGTACTGTGTCTGTGGTGTGCATATGATGTGCATGGCTACATCTTAATATAAGAAGCGAGAATGTTCACTAGTTATGATGCACGTATGTTGTGGCCCGGAATTTAGTGAGTATGATGACCACAACCTAGTTGGCCTCCGCAAATAACAAAATTAAGAAAACGCGTAGAGGATGTTAAGCGTCATGCGTGTCCATGAAATAACGACAACCAGTATCATGTTTTCCACGTGCACAGTTAAGCGATGATTGATGTACGTAACAAGACTTTTCAAACTGTCATTGTAACCTTATATACGTAACAATTATGTTTTAATTGTATTCACTATACCAATACTTTGCTGGTAAAGTTTCTCTCGTTCTGTGCATATCATGTGTATGTACTGTACATATTATGTGCATGTGCTGTGCATATAGTGTATATGGTGCCTATTTACATCTTTGATACTTTTCGCATTAACGTAGTTTACTACTTTTTCCTTTGATTTAGAGACAGGTCTTGCAAACACTAAAAAAGCGAACGAGTTCGTGAAACAATTTCCTTTGATCAGTTGGGTTCTTTTGTGCCCATCAAACTACAATTTTCAAATCCTTGAAATATTTGAACCCAATTAAACTTGATACCAAATTCAAATTAACGAATCTTCAATTCTTCATATAAAGTTTAGGGTCATTTATCTGATTGCGTCATTTTTCTAATTTCAAAGAGAGAGTTGTGAGCTATGAGTTTTTGGGTTGAGCTCAGATCTGTGAGCATAACATGTGCATGTTGTGTACATGCAGTGTATGAGCGAGCTTAATACAAAGAGAGCAAACGAGTACACGAAACAATTTCGTCCATATCATTTTCTCTTCCTTCTTTCCACACTAATTTCTCTCTTTTTCCTCAAAATTATCTCTTCTCCAAAAGGCAACTGACCTTTAATACGTTTTTTCATTTAACTGCAGCCAAAACAAATCCTATTTTAGTGCCTGTAAATTTGGATCGAGAGAAGGAGCAGAGGAAGGAGAAGACAGAAGAAATGAAAATCCACATATAAATCAGAGAAATGATAAAACAAAATAAAAAAAAATAAAAAAAAAACCAGAATTGAAGGATTTGGGTCTCCTCCAAGAAACACCAAACCAATCACTTCAACTCCAAAAATTTATCAATAAAAAAGCAAAATTAAGCAAATTTAGTTCACAAATGAAAAGGTAAAAATCGAAGAAGATGGGTGGGTTAGAGAGAGAGCTTTGTGCATATTCGAAATGTAGAGAGAGAGGAGAAAGAGAGAGAAAAAGAAAGAGAGAGAGCTTGGATAAAGAAGTTGGGTAGATTAGAGAGAGAGTTCTTGGATGAAGAAGACAGATGGGCTGAATTGGGCGAGCGAGATTTTCTCTCTCTCCTATCTGTTTCTCTCTCTACAAAATGAGAAATGAGGATTGGAATTTTTTTAGTAACCCATTTGTATACAAGGACAATTTGGTCATTTTAAGGTGTAGGAAAATCCTATTTCTGTGAAATGCCATCCCCGGATTTCACTATTTAAAATTATGCATTCCGTATTTTGTATTCGTATTCGTAGTTTCAACGCTTATATATTTGCGGCTTATAAATTTTTTGATAAGTAAAGGGACGAAAATGCCCTTAGTGAATTAAGTGGATTTTCAAGGATGTATTTAATTCCTATATGTTTTGTGACTTTTATTTACATATTTGGATAATAGTCGTCGATATGAACATATGGGCGCAAACGGAATGTAATTTGGAATTATAACGAAAGAGTTATAAATGAATGAAGTTGAGGGCAAAATGGTCATTTGACCATAAATTTAGAAAGCTCAGCAAATTTGATGTGCCACGTGTGTGGCTGTGTTGGAAAGGAAAGGAGAGAAAATGGAGGGAAATGGACCAATCGGGGGAGGAAGAAAGAAGGGAAATGAGGGAAGAGAAAAAGAGGGAAACCTGGACCCCCTTTTGACTCACGACCCGACCCGACGACATCCATGTTTTCTGATGCTTTTCACGGTGGTTTTCCAGTGAATTGAAGCCACTCACCACCTGGAAAACATTTCTCATCGTTCCCTCTACTAATTCCACCCCAAAATGGGTGAAATTTGGCCCGATTTCATGAGGAACAACACCAGTAGGTGTAGTGGTTCCATGGTGGCGATCCGTTAATCTCGAAGCTGACCCTGTCAACCACCATCACCAATAGACTCCCCTTAACCTCAGGAACAAAGCCCATGCATTGGTTGGAGTGTCGAAGATGTTTTGGAGTCGAATCAAGAACACCTATTTCAAGGGTTTCCCGTGGGTCGAGGCAGTTTTCAGGTGTTTCCCGGCTGAATTGAACTTCGTACTAGGTATGAAAGTTGTTCCTCTTAATGAGATATACTTTCTTGTAAAATTTGGTAATTTTTAGAGTTAGTCGGAAAATCGGGTTTCCGTTCATCGAAAACCGCCACCTACGGCAGCGCGTGCGCTGGCGTGTGGCTAATGGGCCGCTGATGCTTTTTTAAGATAAATTGATGTCCTGATCTTAGATTTGATATCCGTATGACATGGTTTGATTGTTTGAACCTAGTTTCATTACAATACATCACTTGATCGTTGTACGAATCGACGATCCGACCGTAGGTTCGTCACCAAACTTTAATGCGTTATACAACGTAATATTTGAGGATGTTAGGAATTGATAGATCAAGAATCCAACATATAGATCTTCCTGAATTGAATTCTAAGTTTGTAAAACTAATTGTTAACAGCCACCTAATTTTAGTAATTGGCGGAGATCCGACTGTCGGATCGCGATGGGATTTTAGTATGTTGTTATATGAGCATAATGAGGACCTTAGAAAGTTATGGATCTGAAAAATGATGTGCAGATCTTTTGGATTGAATTACTAGGGTTGTGGACCCCACCGTTGATTGAGAGTTGACTTTTGGTTAGCATGTCTCGGATCGTTTGAAATACTAAAATTAGTATCACTAGAGACTCAGTGAGGCTTTGCGGGCTTATCTCGGTGAGTGACTTTAATATATGTGTGATATTGTTATTACCCTGAAACCCTTATGTGCTAGTATACTTTGTGGATACAGCGTGGATTTCTAAATTATGTTTTATGTTGAATAATTGTTTTTATAAAGTTTGCTATCGATCTATTTTATGAAATGTTATGTGACTTGCATATTTTAAATGTTTATGAAATGTGTTTTGAAATATATATATATTTTTGAAATGTTTGTTAAACGTGAGGGTTAGTAGAGAACCGTCACCCTAGTGTCACGAGGTGACACCGAGTCTGCACCATGTAGTATTGGTACATGGATGGTCCTGCTTGGTTAATCCATGATGGGCGATCACTGCCTAACAGTTTCGTGGGTGTGACTTTGCTTGGTTAATCCACGATGGGGGTCACTACCTACTTGGTTATCTTTTCAAAGGTGGTCTTACTTGGTTAATCCACGATAAGGGACCATGGTCCTGCTTGGTTAATCCGTGATAGGGGACCATACTATTTATGGATCGTGCTTGGTTAATCCTTGATGGGCGATCCTTATGGCCATACATACTTAGGGGTGATCATGCTTGGTTGATCTGCGATGGGTGATCATTGCCTAACAGTTTCGTAGGTGTGACTTTGCTTAGTTAATCCGCGATGGGGGATCACTACCTACTTGGTTACCTTCTCAGGGGTGGCTTTGCTTGGTTAATCCGCTATGGGGGGCCACTTCCTATTTGGTTACTTATGTAGGCTTCGACCGAACTGCGTCCCTCTAGCCCTAGTTTTTAATGTATTTATGAATGATAGTTTTTTGAGAATCTTTGTGGTTTGAATTAGAAAAACCGTTGGATGTCTCGGTGACTCATTCAGAGTTTTTAGTGATTTGGCTATGATTTCATAAGTATGAATTTCTCTGTAAGATCCCACATCGCCCGGGGGAGGGGAGGGGAAGTGATGTGCCTTATATGTACATGTCCACCTCCCTATATTAAGACACATTTTCGGTGGAAGCCTAAGAACAAAACCGTGAGGGCGTAGCCCAAAACGGAGAATATCTTACTATGCGGACTGCGATGTGACAATTTTGTATCAAAGCCATTCCCTGGCTGAAAGTGTGCCGACGAGGGCGTCGAGCCCTTAAAAGAGGTGGATTGTAAGATCCCACATCGCCCAGGGGAGGGGAGGTGATGTACCTTATATGTACATGCCCACCTCCCTATAGTAAGACGCGTTTTGGGTGGAAACCCAAAAACAAAATCTTGAGGGTGTGGCCCAAAGCGGACAATATTTTACTATGCAAACTGG